GTATGGTTGAAAAGAAAAATCATTACTGGTCAGGGATATTTATAAGCATGTATCTGGCAAAGAACTTATATCTAGAATACAGAGACAACACTTAAAACTCAGCAGTAGAAAACAAACAATCCAATTAGAAAAAGACAAAAGGCATAAAAAAGCATTTCAGTGAAGAGGTTATATAAATAACATATGATAATATGTTCAACATCATTAGCTATTAATATTAGGGAAATGCAAGTTAAGACCAGGATGAAACACTGCTACATATCTATTAGCTAAGATTAAAAATAGTGACTTCCCCAACTTTTTCTGAATTTTGGCCCATCAACTATCCATTATCTTGTTGGCCTTTGATGCCTTCTGACAAATTTTAAAAAATTCGTCCATCTTTCTTCTGCCAGATTTTATCCCAAATTGCTGTTTTATTATTACTGGAAGTAGAAGGATACAAAACATTATTTTGGCCATTGTATTTTAAAATTTTCATATCATTTTATCCAAAAACTTCACCTATTATCACATCGATCCTCTTTAATTTATAAACTATAAGTATTTTCAAAAAGATTTCCTTTTGAGGGGGTTGTTAAATAATGAATCAGATGGTCTAAAACAATAACAAAAACAAAAACCAGAAAACACTGGAAATGTCCAAAATGCCCCTTAATCGGTGAATGGTTAAATAATGAGCGACTACATCTGTGCCATGGAATAGTATTCAGAATCAAAAGGAATGAACTACTGATAGACACGACTGGGATGGATCTCACGTTCTGTTGATGTGTCTTCATTCAAGCTGAGATTTTCCTGGTTCTCAGCATAAGTAAATTTTGCTGGAACCTGGACATTTTGGTATTATGTTATGAGATTCTGGATCTTATTTAAATGATCTTTGTAAGCCTGCCTCCTCTGACTGCTCTGGTGAGGAAAGCACGCATGTTGCCATGCGGGGGTGGAGGTCCAGTTTCTCCACTTGGCTCCCCTTGACCTGGAGGGAGGAGGGGGAGGGCTCCTCATTCTTGCAGGGCCAGGGTGAAAGTCCTCCTCTGCCACCACCCTATCAGGGAGCTGGAGGGATGCCTTCTTTTGCCAGGTAGGGGAAGTCGAGGTCTCCCACTTGGGCTTCTCTGATGTCACCCTGGGAGGTTACACCTCCTTCCTGCTTGCAGAGGGGAGAGGCCTAGACTCCACTCAGCCATTTTGGTGGAGGTGCGAGTTGGGCTGTAGTTGTGTCTGTGGCTTTTGACTGAAAGCAGAGTGGTTATTGTCCAAAATGCTCTGTCTTGCTTGGCTACACCTTTCCTGGTCCTTTGGCTAGAAAGAGCAGACTTTTCCAGGGACCTTTCAGGTATACACTCACTTGTGCTTCCAAATCCCCAGCTTTTCCATCACAAGTTCAAGATATACAAAAAGAAAACCCAGGAAGTTCATGGCTGTTTCATTCCTCAGGTCCCAAGGCCCCTGCTGGGTTTGCCTTCCTTTTCCCCCCACCCTTCAGAGTATTCTTATATTTGTTTCATGTGTTTTGCCTAGGGTTTTAAACCGTACTTAGCAGGACAAATAGAAAAAATACACTTACTCCATTTTTTCTGGAAGTGAAAGTCACTTTCACCCTTGAGGTTTTTACTATGTTCCCTGACTCATCATACCTGTGTCACTGCTAAGTGGAAATTAATTATTTATGTGTTGTTTTTTTTTACCAGCCAGACGTCGTGCTCTTAAATGCATGGGTAACAGTGGAGTCTGTAGAAACTCTTGCAAAAAGGATGAAAGGCCCTACTTCTATTGCAGAGGCTATCAACTATGCTGCCTCCAGTCCTACATGAGGATAAACCTTTCTGGCACAGATGAAAATAAGGACTGGTCCTATGACAAACGATGGCCAAAAGTACCTTGAGTGCTGGTGATCACCATTCTTAAGCTCTCTGGGAACCCAGACCTTCTGTCAAACTACCCACTCCCCCCATTAAAATTCATGCATATCCTACCTGTGTCTGTCTTTCATCCACTGCAAATCACAGTAAGAGATTGGATTTTGCGTGGTGACATCTCTGTCCCATTCTGGATACAGCCCTATGTGAGAGAAAGCTGGAAAACTGGAGTGACGATTAGGGAGATGCTAGACAAGCCAGTGAGGATGGACGGAGAATGTATTTGAACCCAGTGAAGGAGGGTTGAAGGGCTCAGGCAGCGTCATGACTTAATTTGTGCTGTCTTGGACTCAGAGGGGCACCAGAACCAGTGGGATGGGTGCACAGCTGGCAGGTGGAGGTCTTGCAGACAAATTTGGCTTAGTTCATGGAAGAATTTCTATGGCAGAACCAATAGGGCTGTTGTAATGTGGAATAAGCTGTCTTAATTTCAAGTTGTGGGGCTGAGGGTTATGTTTGGTGGTTATTGCCGAAGGAATTCGAATGTTGGATGCTGTTGTTGATTGTTAAGATCCTTGAAATCTTTAAAAACCTAGGAGGCTTCTGCCCCTAATTACAACCAACACTAACTTTTTAAATGTAAAATTCTAATTTTACTTTTTGTGTCTTACCTCCCACTAATATCTTATTTCTTTCTTTATCTTTGGTTCCAAATTTTGTCAAAAGTAGAGTAGCCTCACTTGCGCCCACTAGTTTTCTCTGTTTCTCTGACTCTTCTCAACTCCTTACAATTTACTTTTGTGCTTATTATTCTATTGAACTGGCTCTGGTCAAGGTCACCTTTTTGAAAGTTTTAGGATATTGCTCAACTTGTATCTCAATCTGCCTCTGGGCAGCATTTCCCCCATAGTTTATTCCCTCCTTGAAAACCCGAACTTGCTAGGCTTCTGTGACCTCACTCTTCCTCTGTTTTCCTCCTAATGTTCAGGCTGCCCCTCCTCCATCATCTTTTGGGGTCCCTCACTTGTCATTTGTTCCACTGGCTTTCTCTGAGGTCACTCTTCTCTCCTGAGAATAAAAATGCTCCACATTCCCAGGAAAAGGCTGATAGTTCTATAGCCATGCCAACAAGTGAATACCTTGAAAAGTTTTAAACTTTTTTTCATTGATCCATGACAACTTCCTTCAGAGAACACAACTCTGAAAGCAGAAGGACAGCAGTAGGCTCTGAAAGCCAGCCAATCAGCTCTCTGGGTTGACTTCCGTGTACAGGCTTCTAAGTTGTCATCAACCCATTCCCACATCTGTAACCAACACAACTCCCCCCAAGCTCTTCTCCCACATGCTATATAAGCTCAACACTTTGCTCTGCTTAATGAGCCTGACCAGCATAGCTCTCCTGCTCTTAAGAAAGAATCATTCCAGCATTTTGGTTTTAGATATTGAGCAATGGTTTCATCCGTTGACTTCTTTTCTCTTTCCTTCAATGCTCTTACTCAGCCCAACCACAAAGTTTATGATCTGGAGAAAAGTGTTGGTTCCGGACCTCTGTTTCAGGAAGAATACTGGTCTTAGAAACTAGTCTGACCCTCCCACTGAAAACAACTTTTAAAAACTTAGTTAAAATACACAACAAAGTTTGTTTCTTTCTTTCTTTTTGAGACTGAGTCTCACTCTTGCCCATGCTAGAGTGCCATATCGTCAGCCTAGCTCACAGCAACCTCAAACTCCTGGGCTCAAGCAATCCTCCTGCCTCAGCCTCCCGAGTGGCTGGGACTACAGGCACGCGCCACCATGCCCAGCTAATTTTTTCTATATATTTTTAGTTGGCCAATTAATTTCTTTCTATTTTTAGTAGAGATTGGGTCTCGCTCTTGCTCAGGCTGGTCTCTAACTCCTGAGCTCAAACAATCCGCCCGCCTCAGCCTCCCAGAGTGCTAGGATTACAGGCATGAGCCACCGTGCCCAAAGCTTCTTAATCATCCCTGACCTTGCAAGAAAGTAAGGCCAAGTATATTAAAGCCAAGTGAAAGCAGGCACTCTTCTGAAGGCAGTAACTGAAGCTTGTTTTTGTCTTAAAGGCATTTGTTGAATCAGGTGAACTTGAACTTTGGTTTCCATGGCTTTGGCAGAGGTGGGGGTTGGCAGGAGAGAGGAGATAGTACCTAGGATCTGCAAAAAAATATGTGTCTGGTAGGAGACCCCCTACATAAATCTCAGTCCTGAACGTGTTATATACCAGATACAATATTCCTTCTGTTTCAACAGATGTTTCCAAGGAAAATTGCCTGGTTTTGAACTCTGGTACTCAGTAAATAGAAAAAAAGTCTCCACTGAGAATTTATAACCTTAAGCTGGACCTCGTATAGTCTTTTAGCCTGAATTCACATTATATGGGCAGGAAAATGGCTGCTTTCACCCAAGGTGTTCTATAAAGAAAGCCTTAGTGTCTTAATAGTTACTCTTATGGCTGCAAAGATTTAGAATTTTATTTCGACCACTTATGCTGCCATTAAGAGGCAGGACTAACACAAGGGATGCCTTTGATGTCCCAAGACACTTGTTGGGGAGACAGAAGGACACATCAAAAGATCAGTGTTGGAAGCCGGGCGCGGTGGCTCACGCCTGTAATCCTAGCACTCTGGAAGGCTGAGGCAGGCGGATTGCTTGAGGTCAGGAGTTCAAAACCAGCCTGAGCAGGAGCAAGACCCCGTCTCTACTATAAATAGAAAGAAATTAATTGGCCAACTAATATATATATAAAATTAGCCGGACATGGTGGCGCATGCCTGTAGTCCCAGCTACTTGGGAGGCTGAGGCAGGAGGATTGCTTAAGCCTAGGAGTTTGAGGTTGCTGTGAGCTAGGCTGACGCCATGGCACTCACTCTAGCCTGGTCAACAAGCGAGACTCTGTCTCAAAAAAAAAAGATCAGTGTTGGAATATTTAACTTTAGTGATCAAGGCTGTGCATAGGATACCAGCAAACGAGAAACACTAAAAATGGGTTAAAAATCTGTCGTGGAAATAATTTGACACTTCAAGGAGAGCATTGAAGAGTTTATCATTAGAAACAGTGAAAATCTGAGACTTCTTTACACAGCTGTTTCTATCTAGAATTACACATGGGATTGGGGGAGGGTCACTGTGATGTTTTCAGTGCTTTAGCTCTGATTTGGTTCGTCACTCTGAGCTGTGATGAACCTTTGGGTGAGAGATCTCAGTTGCATGGACCTCCTCAGACTGGTTAACTGTGACTTCCTTGCTTGTTACGACAAAGCCGTATGTAGTGGGCACTGGTGTTGAAATCACATCAAATGGTGCTGATGATGGCAAATCATGTGAGAGTGTGGAAGGTGTCTTAGGAACTTGCCGGTCCCTTTTGCTTTCTGGAACGCAGCAGGCTCGATGATTCGTACACTTTTCTTGCATCACTTCTTCATCTATGCATTGTTTCCTGCAGTGCCCAGATTTGTTCCAGCATTTTTTTTCACCACTATAGGCTGGGTAACAAAAAGAAAGATCGCTAATTTCATCGATGCTCTCAATTTTACCAGCATGATTGTATATCTGGCATCCTGTAACCACACTGTGGGTCATAATTAGACTATGGCTGCATCCCCCCCCCCCCGCACCCCCACCTCAGGCCTGGTAAATACCATGTTTCTAAAAATATCAGTTTCCAATCTCCTACCTGCCTGTTTTTAACTTTTCTGAAAGTGAGATGAATCTTACCATCAATGAAAGGAAATTTGCTCATCATAAGGCATTGGGGCCGGTTATAATGAAGCTACCTGGGCACGTGTAAAGCTACCCACATAAAGAAAGTTCATCTTGCTGCTACTGTGATTAAGTTATTCGCGTTAGTCATATCCTATGTGATGAAATTTCTTTGACTACCTTCTACTGCAAAACATATATCCCAATGAGTACATGAAATATATTTGTGTAGTTTAAAGACTAATAATAAAATGAGTACCATGTGCCCATGCCCTGATTAAGAAATAGAACATTATTAGAACCTTAGAATAGTGCAGGTGTTCTGATGTGATAAGCTTCATTTGCTCAGGTGTTAGGCCAGTGCTTCTTAAACTTTAATGTGCATGTGAATTATGTAGAGGCCTTGTTCAAAGGCAGACTCTGATTCAGTTGGTGGGGCAGTGTCCGTGTTTCTGGTTTTCTAATAAATCTCTAGATGATGCCAAAACTGCTAGACTGTGGACCACACTTTCTGTAGCAAGGTATCAGGCCATAAAAAAAACCTCAATAGGCCAGGCGCGGTGGCTCACGCCTGTAATCCTAGCACTCTGGGAGGCCAAGGTGGGAGGATCGCTCAAGATCAGGAGTTCGAAACCAGACTGAGCAAGAACAGAGACCTTGTCTCTACTAAAAATAGAAAGAAATTAATTGGCCAACTAAAAATATTTAGAAAAAATTAGTCGGGCATGGTGGCGCATGCCTGTAGACCCAGTTACTCGGGAGGCTGAGGCAGAAGGATCACTTGAGCCCAGGAATTTGAGGTTACTGTGAGCTAGGCTGACGCCATGTCACTCTAGCCTGGACAACAGAGTGAGACTCTCAAAAAAAAAAAAAAAAAGTAGACCATACTTTCTGTTCTTATGAAGTTTTCAGTCTTTTCCGGGGACAATAAATAAGCCAGTAAGAGAAGAAAGTAAATGGAGAGAAATGACTCAGGGAAGTGGGGTAGGAAGTGTGTGATCAGAAGGCAAGTAAAGACCTTATTGAGAAGGAAGGGAAAGGGTGAGCTCGAGACTGACTGGGGGAAGAGCTTACCAGGCAGAGGAGGCAGCAAGTGCAAAGTCCCAGAGGCAGGATCTATCTCTAAGTTTTTGAAAAACAATAAGGTGGCTATGGTAAGTGTAGAATAAATTAAGTGGAGAGTCATTAGAGAAGTATAATGGAGGCTGAGATCACATAGAGTCTTGCAAGTCACTGGAAGGAAGCCATTGATACACTTTGATTACAGGATAATAAAAGAATTGCAGGTTAAAATAGCAGTGTGAGATTATACCCATCCGACTAGTAAAAAGAATGTTGAGTGTTGGAGAGATTACGGTGATAGAAAAATCCTTTGCACTGCTGGTGGGAGGGTATGGTTATCTCCCTGTCCCTATAAATGTCATTGATTTTTATTTTTCTTCCTTAAAATAGGAGGGGCTGTCCAAGATAAAGTGTGAAGACTTTATGCTTCTTTCATCATCTCAATTCTTCCCTCCAATTAACCAATCTTACAAGAACACTCAGACTTGAAACCTCTGAACATGTCAATATTTCCTTCACTCTCCACTTGTCGAGTTTCTATGACTCATGGATTGCTTTTACAAAATCTTTCACATCTGTCTCTTTCCTAGTCTCCATATCTCCGCTAGAACTCAAAGCAGACACAATTGGTTCCATATGGATTACACAGAATTGTTCCCGATTGTGTCTGGAATTCCAACTGGAGAATTACTCAAAAGCCCGGAAGCTGGCAATTTCTGCAATGTCCTGAAAGATACATAAGGGAGGAATTAATGGAATAAATAATTTTAGATGTACCTTTAATTTGGTCATTTGACTTCTAAGAATCTAGCCCATATAAATCCTTGTCCAAATATGTAAATGTAGTTGTACAAGTATGTTCACTGCTGTGTTGTTAGAAAATTAGAAAACGTCCCAAATGACTATACATAAATTATGGTTTATCCTACAATAGAACTATATAACTTTACAAAGAACAAGACAAATCTTCAGATGGTGACATGGAAGGCAGCCACAAAACATTAGATGAAAGAAGAATGCTGCGTAATTGCATCTAGTGTCTTTATTTTTTTTTATAAAATGGAAATATTTAGATTTTATGAGAGTTTGATCATATATTAAAATGCATCTTAAAAGATATACAATAAAGACGAAAACAGGTTCTCTTCGGTAGCAATTTCAACATTCTGGCCATGACTTTAGATATACTAATATAAAAAGCAGTGATTATTAAAAGCTTAGGCTTTCATTGTAGAAGGGAGAAGAAAAGTCCGTTTTCCCTTCCACATAATAGCTCTGCAGATATTTTCTTTTTCTTTTTTTGAAACAGAGTCTCACTCTGTTGCCTAGGCTAGAGTACAGTAGCATCATCATAGCTCACAGCAACCTCAAACTCCTGGGCACAACACCCAGCTAATTTTTAAAAAATTTTTTGTAGAGATGGGCTCTCACTATGTTGCTCAGTCTGGTCTCAAACTCCTGGCCTCAAACAATCCTTCCACTTTGGCTTCCCAAAGTGCTAGGATTATAGGGGTGAGTCACCATGCCTGGCCACTGCAGATATTTTCTGACCTGTTCACCAAATTCTAGAATATTAGAAAACAAAAATAACTTCATTTACAGCTATAATGGGACTTTAGGGCCAAGAACACATCAGGAAGTGGGCTTTGTGAATCATTTTGAAGAGCTGGCACAAGCCAGAAAGGGAATTGAAGTGAGTCAAGCTTTCACCCAATTTCTTACGTGGCAACTTGGATTACAGAACCACGGACAACACTGGCTGTTGGAATTGCCCCTGTCTGTTAAGGATAACCTGTCCCCCCTTAGATTCCACCCCTGCCAGGAACAGAGTCCCAATATGGGAGCTGTGGAGCTGCCCAGGTTGGGGGTTCAGTTACACATTAGAATTTCCATGAGCCAGAGCTCATTATATCTCCATTTTTGCAGCTTACCTGAGTTCTAATTACCTGGGATCACTTGGGGTAGGAGCACAAGGATAGGAAGAGCCAGCAGCAGGAGTCTCATGGTCCTTGGGAAATAGGAGGCAGTAGATCCAGGAGCTTGGAACACTGTGTGCATGCAGTGTGGATCTGAACAAGAGTTTTATTGGCCTATCTGCAGTGGGGGCAGACTGGTGGGTTCTGAACCAGACACATACGTAAAAGCTTATCCATGCGAAACATCAGTCCATTGGCTGGTGACTGAGTGAGCATCTGATGAAGGCGCTGGGAGAGTCTGCAGAGGGTTCTGTCACAAGCTTTGAGGAGGTGTTTGCAGACATGGAGAGGGAGGAGGCACTAGGCCATCTTCCCTGGAATCTAGACCTCTCATCAGGGTCCAACCCTCCCTCGCAGTCCCTCTCCCTTGGGCATAAACCTGCTTTTGAACTGCCTACTTGCCTGTGTCTCCCTGCGCTGGGCTGTGCGATTCCTGAGAGTAGGGACAGTGTCTCTCATTTTTGAACCCCCAAAGCACAAAGCATGTTCTCAGTGAAGGTTTGTGGAACTAAAAGATAATGAACGCATGTCCCTCTATAGGCCAAGTACCTCTCTTACATATGTGCCACCAGGGACAGTGACTTGCCCCGGATAATGGGGCTGACTTGCTGTAGAGTGTGTGGGGAGATCATTTACATGATAATAAGATTCAAAGGAGAGTGTGTGGGGAGATCATTTACATTATAATAAGATTCAAAGGAGAGTGTGTGGGGAGATCATTTATATTATAATAAGATTCAAAGGAGACTGCCGCCCAAGGTCGCCAAAAAATGCTCCCTACACAAGGAAGGTCTACAATAACTTTGGATGTTACTTTTGACAAGGGGGCAATGGGGGCCATTGGAGGTCTGAGTGTTGTCTGCAAAGACCTCAACATTTAGATCTGTCTTTGGGATGCAGAACCTAGATTTCACCCTGGAGTCAGCCTGGTTCCTGCCTTGCTTTTGTTGCTTTTTCACCCTGTTTCAACTCTTGCTCCCTCCTGTTTGCTTGGTTCTGAAGTTGTTGATCTTCCTCTTCTGGAGTTGATGGTGTCAGCTGTGAGATAGTCTATAGGAATCAGCAGGGTGGTCATGTGGTTAAACAGATTGTTCTCTTTTGGATGGAACCATGCAGAAAGCCTAGGACGGTGGTGGATGTTTCCACATTTAACTTCAGATTAATACGTTCTAACAGGCTGAACTCCCTTACCATGAAATGGTTTCCTAGACAGGCAGAGGGTGTTCTGCAACTGATTTTTCAAGCTGGGGCTAAGTGATTTAATATGAGGGATTTCTACAGTGTCTTTTCTAATCCCTTCCAGGCATAAAGATCCATGTTCTCAATTTTATGAATGCTGTTTTTTTCCATGCCCTGATGATGAGAGAGATCCTGACCCTTTCTAACCTAAAGAATTTGAGAAAAACCCTTTTTTGTTATGCCACAGAAAAGCAGGAAAATCTGGATTACCCCTCCTCCAATTCGTAGAGCCTGACCTCCAGTCTGAGATGGTGGTGGGGTGGGAATGGAGAATAGTTGTTTATAAAAAAAAAAAATGCCCTGAAGGGGAAGGGCTTATTACAGGGGAGAATATAAGTGGGTACAGTTCATGGTGTCAGAGCTAGTCCCTGGCCCAGGGACTAGCCTTCTTTACCCATCCTTGTTGAGGGATAAATCAAGGCCCTCTCCGTTAAGACATACACCTGAAGGATATTAGTTGTTGTTTATTTACCGGAGTTTTATTTTGCTGAAAGCAATTTACCCATACGCTCCTTTCCCCGCCCCCCTGCTTGATTTCTGATGAATGTTATTTACATTTGTACACATAGGTGTTGATTGATTAGTTCCAATTTAATGGTGAGTACATGTAATGAAGTACTAAATTTACTACATTTTTATCTGTTGTTTTAAATTCTCCTTTGAGCTAAAGACTCCCATGTCCAATTGTATACTTGTCAAATTCACCTGGATTTGTCAGTTTCCCCCCACCCTATTTTACTTGCTCCCACTCCTGTCTTCTTCCTTTCAGTAAATAGCAAATTGGGAAAATTAGATAGCCATATATAGAAGATGGAAACAGGATCCATATCCCTCACCAATGCCAAAAATTAACTCAAGATGGGTAAAAGACTTATATCTAAGACATGAAACCCTGGAATTCTAGAAGAAAATGTTAGAAAAACTCTTTTAGATATCAGCCTAGGCAAAGAATTTATGAAGAAGACCCCAAGGGCAATCACAGCAACAACAAAAATAAATAAATGGGACTTGTACAGCCAAGGAAATAATCAACAAAGCAATAGACAACCTACAGAATGGGAGAAAATATTCACATGTTATATATTGGATAAAGGGCTAATAACCAGAATCTATAAAGAACTCAAGCAAATCATCAATAAAAATCAAACAACCCCATTAAAAAGTGGGCAAAAGATATGAACAGAAACTTTTCAAAAGAAGACAAACTAATGGCCAAGAAACATATGAAAAAATACTCAACATCACTAATCATCAGAGAAATGCAAATTAAAACCATAATGAGGCTGGGTGCGGTGGCTCACGCCTATAATCCTAGCATTCTGGGAGGCTGGGGTGGGCGGATCGTTTGAGCTCAGGAGTTCCAGACCAGCCTGACCAAGAGCAAGACCCCATCTCTACTAAAAATAGAAAGAAATTAATTGGCCAACTAAAAAAATATACATATAATATATATATTTATATATATTATATATATAAATTAGCCGGGCATGATGGCGCATGCATGAAGTCCCAGCTACTTGGGAGGCTGAGGCAGGAGGATTGCTTGAGCCCAGGAGTTTGAGGTTACTTGTGAGCTAGGCTGACGCCACGGCACTCTAGCCTGGGCAACAGAGTGAGACTCTGTCTCAAAAAAAAAAACAAAACAAAAAAACAAAAAAACATAATGAAATATCACCTAACCCCAGTGAGAATGGCTTTTATCAAAAAGTCCCAAAACAATAGATGCTGGTCTAGATGTGGAGAGAAAGGAACACTTACACACTGTTGGCGGGACCGCAAACTGGTAAACCTATGTGGAAGATAGTATGGAGATTCCTCAAAGAACTAAAAGTAGACCTACCGTTTGATCCAGCAAGGCTATTGCTGAGTATTTACCCAAAAGACAAAAAGTCATTTTATCAAAAAGACACTTGCACTAGAATGTTTATTGAAGCACAATTCACAATTGCAAAGATGTGGAATACACCCAAGTGCCCATCAGTTCATGAGTGGATTAATAAAATGTGGTATATGTTGGAGTACTACTCAGTCATAAAAAATTGAATTAACACCTTTTGCAACAATCTAGATGGAACTGGAGACCATCCTCCTAAGTGAGGTATTGCAAGAATGGAAAAATAAGCACCACATGTACTGTGTTTCCCTGAAAATAACACAGGGTCTTATATTTATTTTTCCTCAAGAAGACACCCTAGGGCTTATTTTCAGGGGATGTGTTCTTTTTTTTAAGTACGGTACAACAATCTACATTTATTCAAATATAGTTAAGTCGTCTTCTTTTGGAACATCATCATAACTCTACACACCCCGAATTCCATCCTGAATTTCTTGCGACTCTATTTCCTTTAGAACCATTGGCCCCAATCTCTCATTTGGAGCAATAGAGCTCTCGTGGGGCAGATGAGAAGGGCTGCTCATCTTCTTTACCGCTCCTTGATGAAATGCATGGGTTGTGCAGATACGCTGCGTAGCCACGCCCATCACTAGGTCTCATTTTCGGGGGGTAGGGCTTATATTACGCAAATGCTTAGAAATCCTGATAGGGCTTACTTTATGGGTAGCTCTTATTTTCGAGGAAACACAGTACTCACTATTAATTGAAACTAACCAATCAGCATTCTTACAAACAAATGGAAGTAAAACTCAACAGAAATCATGCAGATGGGAGGGGTGAGGAAGGGATGGGTGAAATCATACCTAACGAGTACAATGTATACTCTCGGGGTGAGGAGCACACTTACAACTTTGACTCAAGTAGTACAAAAGAAATCCATGTGACCAAAACATTTTTACCCCCATAATATTCTGAAATTAAAAAAAAGTAGCATACCCATCCAAGTTGTTATTCAGTCTGAGTCCCTTTCTTGTTCCAATTATAGTAGCAATCACAGCTTATTTATTTTTTATTTGTTTATTTTTTGCTTTCTTTGCTAGATAATCTGCTTCATTAGATCAAGCAACAAGCCTGTCATCTTCAATTTTATAGCCCCGGTGTCAACCACAATGTGTTTCAATATAGTGTTTAGAAAGTATTCTTGAATAAATGAGTGAAATTTTTGCCTGCCTCAGTTTTCTCATCTGTAAAGTGCTGATAATTTCTCTATGTTACAGGTTTTTTTTTTTTTTTTGAGTGCTGCTATGTTTGAGTAGTGATTTATTCTTGGAATTAAAGTTTAATTGCTGTTGTTAAATCCCCATGAAGGGAAATAAAGCTCCTGATAGTCCAACATCTATAATTTAGAGAAAATCACATCAGCAGGGAGTTCATAATCATTTAGTAACAAAAACTAATCGGATGAGGGCCACTGGGCCAGGAACTTTCTGTTCAGACTGTGGCTAGTACCACTGGGCTTACCTTCACTTGATGTTATAAGCTTTTCCTATTTAGGACAAGATTTTCTTAAAATTTCCCACAACATGAAATCATCCTACACTGAAACCATGAGGGGAAACTCAAGGCTTCCCACCTTACTGAGTCTCCAAGGAGGTGGAGATGTGCAAAGATCAAAACCAATACAGAATCCTTGGGGACTTCTAAGTGGCCCTTGGGGATGAACTTCTTAGTAGGGGTAACAAAAAATGTAGAATGGAACTGACATTTAGCTCTTTCCTCCCTAGGGGGCTTATGCTGGAACATTTATTTGAATCTTTTTTTCCTTGTTCTTTTCTGGGTCCTCTTCACTGAACACACACATCCTTAGGAAGATAAGTATTATCATGTAGGGTTCAGCTGCCTTCTCTGTAGGTCCTTGGATTGCCAAACATGATCAGAGCTTGGGTGAAGAAAATAAGCCCATGGAGCCAACAAATCAAGAAGGCTGTCCTTGTTGTCTAGTCTTTAAACAAAGGAAGGAGAA